GAGAGTGATAATTGAATATCTGTAACAAAATTGGCCAGATTTTCATATGTCGATTTTTTTTTTCGAAATCCGAATTGAGAACTGTGAATAAGATTATTAGATTCCAAAAAAAATTCTAGTCTTGATTTTATCATTCTTTCATATGTTTTTAGAACACATGATGCTAAAGATATAGCCCTATATGACGATGCATGATTTTTTGGTTTTCCTGGCTTAAGTATGGGAACTAAAATTTCCCATTAATATTAATAATATTAATAATAATAAAGTAATTTTTCCATTGTGAAGGTATATCGACTTTATTTAACCAAATATCATTTAGTATATTTAAAAGCAAAATTTTTCCTGATCTAGGAAGATTGAACAACATAGGATAATGTATATTATCATAACCTGGAGCTGTATTGGCAGATTTTTTGAGTGCCATGTCTAATTCTTGAAGTGAAAACTGGTTGGTAAGATAATGTCCACTAATAATATGATCTATTATATCTACACAATCAAGAACAGTTGGATCAGGTGATACATATGGAGGGGTTAAATTGTAGTGAAATTCAGAAAGCCATTCATCATGATCTGATTGATTTTGATTTGAATATTTTCGATTTTTAAAATTATTTACCTTTTTCCATATATTCTTAAGAGGTACTGATCTGTTGAGTGATTTACAATAATTTTCCCAACTATCTTTTTTTATTTGTTTGAAGGTTTTTTTTGCTATAGCATCGGTTCTTTTATATTCTAACAAATTATCTAATGTGGGATTATTCATATATTTATGAAAACTGTTTCTTCGTTTCCGTACTAGAAATTGACATTTTTCATTCCACCATTGTTTATTTTTATTTGAACTTTGATTTGATTTAAATTTAGGTATAGAAAGGTTTGCTGCATTTTCAACTATTCTTATAAAATAATTGTAATCTCCAACTTCTGTTTTATTGATCAGTTCTTGAAACTCCATACAATATATATCCCAGTTTGCTTTTTTAATATTCCATTTTCTACAAGATAGTAATTTATTAACTTTGGGTACCATATATATTTGTGTAATGCATGGTAAATGATCAGACCCATAAAGATCTTTTATTGTGTGCCAATATAGTAAATGTTTTATACAAGGAGAACAAATTGTCAGATCGATAGCAGAATGAGATTGCAAATAATTCCCTATGAATGTAGGTGATCCATCGTTGAGATATACAAGATTATTTCGGTCAAGAGCTTTCATAAGTGTTATGCCATAATGGTCTGTGTTTGGCCCACCCCAGGCAATATTATGTGAATTAAAATCTCCCGTAAAAATTACAGGTGGGTTAAATGAACTAAAGAATTGATCCCAAATATGCAACGAAATTTTAGTTTTTGGTGGAACGTAAAGCGATACAATGGTAATATTTTTTTTATCATTACATTTTAAAAGAATGGATGATTGATTACAATTAGGTAGTAAAACAGATATAGGTAATTCTGTATACAAAAATTTTGATTTAATAAGGATGGCCGTCCCCCCGCCACTGCGGTCTAAACGGTCATCCCTCACAATGTTGTAACCTGGAAGATTAAAATATTTATTTGATGTAAATCTAGTTTCTGACAAGCAAGCTATATCAATGTTAAGATCATTTGACAAATATTGTAAATTTTCTTTATTTGAATTTGCCGATTTAATGTTCCATTGACATAGAGTTATATGATCCATGTTCAAAAAGGTTATTTAAGCTAGTTTTAATAATATTTGTAATTTCGTTTTCTTGTATGTCTAATTTATTTGTGTTCTTTATTGTATTTATGGTTGATAAAACTATCCGAAAAATGACATTTGCAATTTCATTATTTTCGGTTTCTCTTATGACATTTTCTGATTTATTTTCATTTTGAATATTGGACTGATATTGTTCTGAACTCAAAATTCCCCCTTTCTTAAAAGGAAGATTAACTGAACTAATAATGGATTGATGCTCTAACAATGTATGATCGGGAGATAAAGGATAAGATCTTTTACTTTTTTTTGTTAAGTTATTTAATTGGGCTTGATAGTATGACTGGGAATTCGGTCTTTGAGAAATGGATCGATTATTGGATTGGTGTGATATATGTGAAAAGGGCTTGGACGATGTTGAAGCTACATGAACATTAACTGACTCTAATAGAGAATTTTGTTGTAAATTAGAATTAACTATTGTATTATCAACTGCTTTTGGAGGTAAATGTTTAGATACAATATCTGCATAACTTTTTTTTGGAATACTACTACTAGCATCCTTGAAGGAACAATTTGTTTGTGACATCATTTGTTTAATTTGTTCTTGTCTGTTGTACTCCGGGCATACATTAAAATCGTTAGTAAAATGGTTTCCATTACAAGAAAAACACTTTACTGTAAATTCGTCTGATGTACATGTAACTGTGTCATGACTCTGACAACATTTAAGACATCTTATTTTGCTTCGACATTGTTTACTAATATGTCCATAACGGTAACAATTATTACACATTACAACTCTTTGTTTATAAACTTCTACCTCGTAAAGAACTTTATTAATTTCTATATACTTAGGTAAAGTTTGACTTTTAAAGGAAACCAAAATAGTACTTGTAGGTATTAATTCTGTTTCGTTATTTGAGTTTTTTACTTTTCTGTTCATTCTTTTAACAAATTCCACTTCAAATTTACAATGAAAATCATAGGCCCTAATTTTATTTTTTAAATATTCAACTGGTAAATCTTTATCAATGAATCTAATAATTCCTAATCGAAATATTAAAAATTTGGGAATATAAGCAGACAAGTTTTTATTTTCTAAAATAGGAGATTTTAACAATATATTAGCGCTCAAATAATCCTTACAAAAAACCCGAATTCGATTTCTTCCTATCGATTGAATTTGTTTTATTTTTTTGTCTAATTCCGGATGTGAAGTTAAAATTATTTCTCCAATTTTTATTGCGTTTATTTGTCCTAAATAATTATCCATTTTATTTTCAATGTAAATCTGAAACGGGCCTATATCAGTAGACTGATAAAGAAATGTTGTTATTACTTTTTTGTTCGATTCATTATTATTATTGTTAACGGAAAAACTTGATTCTGGATTAGAACTAGCCTCAACTATCTTATCCTGTAATACAATTTGTTTTTTATTTGTTTTATCTTTAATATTCCGATTCAAGGCAGAAGAATCTATAATTAAATTTAAATGATTTGAACCACTTATCTGATTATTTCCTAGATCTAAGTTTTCTATAGGGTCCGGAGGAGGAGGGGGTTTCCCCCCATCATCCACATCCATATGAATGCACTAATCTTTCACAACACCCTTATAACCACAATTATAACTAATTTTCAAATAATTACTATTGTCTTCTAAAACTATTGATTGTACTAAACTTCTAATATACACGTGTAAGCACGACGACTGTTCACGCACGAATGCTTATAGAGGGATAGAGAGATTTATAATGCAGGACATAGTTACCACTTAAAGCAGGAAGAGCCTTGCCAAACAACGGTTCAATATCTTCGGGAATATAGACTCTTCTCGAATGAAAATATTCGAAGTCCTTTATCGTTACTTGCTTAATTAGGTCTGGATCTCTTAGCAGTAATATTGGTGCGCCGAATTGATAAGTACCACTAAATCTGTAAAAGATAAAAAAAATGAAAAAAAGGGTGATATTAATGGGTATAGATTCTATGAATGAAGGGTAATAACTCAACAAATAGATTAGTGAAAAGATCATTACCTGTTCTGTTATAAGGCTATATGAATGGAAACACTCAGACAGCCTTCAATTAAGCGATATTTAAACAACAACGATATTTAAAAATGTAGCTGGTCTCCCCTAGAAACTGCTTGAAAAAGACGGATGATAATTCTAACACCGGACTCAACAAAAAAAGACAAACTTGCTTTGCGTGCCTACAAAATCCAACTCATGCCAGACTTGAAGGTACATCATCACTTAACAAGTAGATTTGTAGATTCGGTGAGTGGGTCCAAAACGAGATTGCCGTTGATTCCGATTTTTATAAGTGAATTTTGGTTGGCGATGACGCTCACTTTTGGTTGAATGGCTACCCTAACAAACAAAACAGTACATTCAGAAAAACTAACTGTTTGGTGGAATCATTGGACCGTACTTCTTTAAAAACGATGCTGGTGAAAACGTTACAGTTAATGGTGACCGCTATAGAGCCATGATTAAGGCTTATTCATTCCCCATTTAAACAGCCATGATGTGAATTTGGGTGACTTTAATGCTAAGTTGGGATGTAAACTAGACGGGACCGAAGTAGCAATAGGTCCCTATGGATTCGGACAAAGAAATAAAAGAGGCGAAATGTTTTTGGGTTTCTTGGTACGAAATGGCCTTTTTGCAATGAATAGCTTTTTCAAAAAAAGTCCCCAAAGAAAGTGGACCTGGGCAAATCCAGATGGAGTCACCAAAAATGAAATTGATTTTGTCTTAACCAACAACAAAGACATGATCCATGATGTAACAGTTCTTAGTAGCTGTTCAGTGGGAAGTGATCATAGAATGGTAAGAGCGAAGATCGTGCTAAATCTCCAAAAACAAAGATACAAAATGATAACAAAAACACACCCAATACAATGGAATCCAATCGAAAACACCACGTCCTTCGAAGAGGAAATTCTGAGATGTCTAGGGACAACAAATATAGAAGTTATGGATATCGAAACCTTAAATGATAACTTAATAAAAGCTATTAAGAACGCAGAGAAAAAGTGCAATACAAATTCTAGGAGAGATAAGGAGGAAAAGCTCAGTCAAGAAACAAAAAGACTTATGGAGGCACGAAGAGAACTTAAGAACAAAAACGATACGAATGCACGCGTACTACAACAACTTAATAAAGATATTAATAAAGCAGTGAGAAAGGACGTACGACAATATAACACCACGTCCTTCGAAGAGGAAATTCTGAGATGTCTAGGGACAACAAATATAGAAGTTATGGATATCGAAACCTTAAATGATAACTTAATAAAAGCTATTAAGAACGCAGAGAAAAAGTGCAATACAAATTCTAGGAGAGATAAGGAGGAAAAGCTCAGTCAAGAAACAAAAAAAAAAAATATGGAGGCACGAAGAGAACTTAAGAACAAAAACGATACGAATGCACGCGTACTACAACAACTTAATAAAGATATTAATAAAGCAGTGAGAAAGGACGTACGACAATATAACACAAAAAAGATTACAACGGTTGTCGAGAAAAATAAAAGTTTAAAGGTGCTGAAGAGATGTCAAGCTCTAGGTAAGAAGAACATTGTTAAGCTCGCAGATCGAAATGGAAAAGTGGTAACAGATAAAGATAAGATAATTAAGGTAGTTGAAGAATTTTACACAGAATTATATAGAGAAAGGGGGAAGAAAGACGGCACCAAGTTGAGAAAAGTCCAGAATGTGGGTTCAGAGGATATCCCAGAAATAACAACCGAAGAAGTTTTAAAGTCATTAAATAGAATGAAAAACAATAAAGCAGCTGGTGATGATCAAATCGTTATTGAGGCAGTTAAAGCAGGAGGAAAGACAGTATTGAAAGCATTGACGCAATTATATAACTTATGCCTTTCAAACGAGGTTACACCATCTCAGTGGAATAAAGCTGTTATAGTAGTCATGCACAAAAAGGGAGATATAACAGAGCTAAAGAACTATAGACCTATTAGCTTGTTATCTCACGTTTATAAGTTGTTTATGAAGATAATAACTAATAGGTTGACATCAAAACTAGACTTCTATCAACCTTGCGAGCAAGCAGGATTTAGAGCTGGATACGGAACAAATGATCATTTGCAAACCATTAAGTCGTTGATTGAAAAAACTATTGAATATAATAGACCCCTGATACTTATCTTTGTCGACTTTGAAAAAGCATTTGATACGGTCAATCAAAGTGAAATGCTCCAAGCTCTAACACAATGTAGAAAAGATCACCGATACATATCTCTCATCAGATACATCTATCAACATGCTACAGCCTGTGTAAGACTTAATGAAGATACTGGGACTTTTCGTATTGAAAGAGGCGTTCGGCAAGGAGACAACATGTCTCCTAAATTATTTACAACTTTGCTAGAATACGCTTGTAAAACAATAGATTGGAACGAAAAGGGCATCAATGTAGATGGAAAATTTTTAAATAACCTTAAATTTGCAGATGATATCGTTCTTATTGCAGACAGCTTTGATCAGGCACAGATAATGCTCCAAGAACTCCATAATGCCACAAAAAGAGTTGGTCTTAAAATAAATTTTTCAAAAACACAATTTATGACAAATTTAGTCCACAACAAAAACATCTCAGTAGAAGACAAAGATATTGAGCCAGTTGACTCCTATAAATACTTAGGCCATGAGATCAGAATAAGTCGAGACAACCAAACAATCGTTCTGAAGCTATTTTCTTGTGGCATTGTAAATTAATTACTATTTATAATTGGGAATAAGCCACAATTAAAGATAAAAATACGTTTATTGACGTTTCAATTTCCAATTCGGAAATCGTTCTCAAAATACAAATAGTAAATTTACTATTTGTATTTTGAGAACGATTTCCGAATTGGAAATTGAAACGTCAATAAACGTATTTTTATCTTTAATTGTGGCTTATTCCCAGTTATAAATAGTAATTAACCAAACAATCGAGCTGAAAAGAAGAATAAACCTCGCTTGGGCTGCATTTGGAAGGATGAAGGATATTTTTAGGTCTAAGATTCCAATGTGTCTGAAAAGAAAAGTATTTAATTAATGTATTTTGCCAGTCATGACCTACGGCGCAGAAACCCTAACGCTCACAAGAACAACAGTGAGTAAACTACAAGTTGCGGAAAGAGCAATGGAGAGAATTATGTTAGGGATTTCTCTACATGATAGAATACCCAATGCTACTATACGCAAAAGATCAGGAGTAGCAGACGTTATTGAAAGGATAACAACACTAAAGTGGAACTGGGCAGGTCATGTAGCAAGATCAGTTGATGACCGGTGGACAAAAAGAATTTTGGAATGGAGACCCCGAATACAAGCATACAGAAATAGAGGTCGACCCCCAACGAGATGGACAGATGACATAAAAAGAGTGACTACAAATTGGATTCAGATGGCGCAAAATCGGACTAAGTGGAAGAGCATGCGAGAGGCCTATGTTCAGCAGTGGACGTTAGAGGCTAATTGATGATGATGATGATGATGTGAAGGAACTGTCATTTTAATAAGACGGTGCAACATGTTACGATTGATTTAACCCTTTAACGCGCAAATTATTTTTTCTTATTTTTTTCGGAATTTAAAATAAAATCTTGTTTAAATGAAATGTTATTTTCTAAAAAATGACAAATTATAATTAAATTTTCATCACAAAGTATTTTTTGAGGTGGCTTGTGTATCTGCCACTAATCGTCCTGAAAACCCAATAGCATGTAGAGTTTGGCGGCTAGCCATATAGCCACTTATTTTTTATATAAATAAATCACAAAAAATGATTCAAAATATATTTATTTAAAGATGAGACAAATTAAAATGGGAAATTCACAAACATACCATTTCTACAAATTCTAAATAGCGACTGTTCAAAATAAAAATCTACCCAGTTTTATGAAATTCTGCGAAACATTCTAAACACAGACCAACATTACACTCACTACATGCTATTTTTGATCTCTTCACATTTGGTTTGGTGGAGCAACGTGCATATCGCCTATACTTCCCCTTTACTTAGAAATAGAACGTCCACTAATTTTACGCATTTTGTTTTTGCTTGTAGTAGTTGGTGCACCTCTTTGTTTTTTACCGAAAAAATTACCAATTAGTTTATTGGCTAGTATCGTTTGAAATTGTAAATTAGACATGGCTTTTTTTCTTTTAGCGGCGATTAGTGTTTTGTACATTATATATGCGTTCACAATCGCGGAATCTAAAAGGTAGAAAAATATTGTCATCCACCATTTACAAATTTTCAATGAGATGGAGTAAGAAGCAAGGTATTGATCAAAAAGATCAACGCCTCCCACGAATTTGTTGTATTCAGCTACTAATTGTGGACAGGGTACTTTCTCTTTTTTTCTTCTTTGTTTGTTCGAACAACATCAACTTTCAATAAAGGATCATGAAGAGAACGAATTACGACCACACACTTTTTACCTCTGTTATGCCATTTGCAAACTGATATTCCACTGTACTGATCATCTACAAAATCAGATTCACCCAGTTTCAATTGGTTATCATTTAGCAAAAGATTCTTGGGATTATTCCGAAAGTATCGCAGCCAAAAATGTATTATTATATAGGAAATTGGTTTGCAAGTCAATTGTGAAAAAAAATTATCAAAGTATAAAGCGTAACCTTTAAAATGGTATGGCTCTTTCAAATGCAGAACTGTTCTTTCTCCCAATGTACCCTCAATGTGACTTGTGGGATATTCTTCCATTTCATCGAAAAATCACTTGCTAAATTAGTGGTGCTTTCTTTAATCTTGGGTTGATCTTCTGAAAATATGGTTTGGCTTTGCATCTGTTGTATCTTGAGTTCGAGCAAACCGAAATCTTCGAGTCTGATATCGTCCAAACTAAATGAAGATGGAGCAAAACGTCTTTTTAAAGTTTTCTTTTCAGGGACATAGTTCTTGTCACCAATTGAGTCATCTGAGTCATAGTCCATATCCAATCCCGATTTCTCAAAATTTAATAAACTTTTATTTCTTACCCTCTGATTGGAAGGACGAGATGGGCCAGATGTCGAAGAAGTAGATGGATCAGCTATTGAAACATTAGATGAATGGGGTGTACTAGAACCGCTATGTGTAGAGACTAACACATTGTCTTCGGCGTCGCTATCCGCCTCAGTGTCAGATATTTCAGCCATATCATCTGTAATGCCATCGATAAACTCATACAGTTGATCAGCAGATAAACATTCTAGTTCCTCGTTAGTGATATTGTCTCTATTTGAAGTCATTTTCTGTAGCAAAAATTAAATAAAATCACGACAAGTCCTAATAACACAAAACATAACCAAAAATAGGACAAATAGTCTAAGAAATTCACTGGATTTCCTTAGCGCATATCTTGTTTCAATAAAACACTGCAGAAATTGAGTTTAACATTATTATGCAATGAAAATTATACTTACAATTAGTTGTAATATTAATAATTTGAGCACAACACAATAAAACGTACAACAGCTACACATGCTTTCGAAATTAGACAGCAGCTAGCAACGGTTAGTGGCACACATAGAAGCCAGTTGTATCTTACTTTTGAGGGGCAGGGCAAGTGGTTTCTATAGAAGGCAGTAAGCGTTGCGCACGAAGTAAACAACTATTACAGATCATAATCAGTTGAATTTACGTGGCTTATTGGACTGTGCTGTAAGTGGCTTCTATTGTTGCCACTAACTGTTAAAGGGTTAATGAAGAAAACTTTTGGTAACCGCATAAATTCACGTTTCGGACCGTGAATTTACCTCCAAGATCGTGCGATTTAACACTGCTAGACTATTTTATGTAATACATGTGAAGGTAGCCTACGCCGATAAACATGAATCGATTGACCACTTGTAGGACAACACTCGCCGCGTTATTGCCGATGTACGGCGACAAATATTGGAAAAAATGATCGAAAATTGGACATACAGATTAGACTATGTCAGAGCAAGCCATGTCGGTCATATATCAGAAATCATATTTAAATTATAATGCCAAAGAATTATCTTTCGAATAAAGTTTTCCTTTAGACGAATTTGGCAAAAAGAAGCACTTTTGATTTGAGTTCGAAATGGGATCAAAAGTTGTTAATTTAAAAAAATATATAACTAAGCTTCATTGTTAAATACATATATTTAATTACCTATATGTTAAGATACCTATATTATTTTAACCTAGCATTTTTGTATGTATATTATAGTCAACTTTTTATTTACCCGGTATATTTTTTACTAATTTTTAAATGATAATACATTAATTTGTAAAGTAAGATTAATACCAATAGCAATAAAATAAGGAATTACCTTGTACCCGGAAACTCGTTATAAAGTTCTGTTATAGTGGTATCAGCTCCCTTTCCATTGAAAAGCGATAAATAGCTTGTGGTGAAGCATCGAAGGATTCCTTTTTGTTTTACGTTTCTTGTTACCCAAAACTTCGTCTGTTTGTAGACAAAACTGTAGACGGCGATTATTAAAATCGAGATAGCAAGTAGTGTTATCATCGCTGGTGTTGACTGAACAAGCGCAAGGTCAAACTGGTCTAATTTGTTCGGCAATTCTGTTTCTATTGTTGTTTGGAATTTAATGATTTGTATATATTTGACGCAACTATATTATATCTGACTTCTCTGAATGGGAATATAAGTTAACAACTTATCAAAACCGAGTTATTTATGTACTTGATAATAAAATGTAATTCCCTGCCTTCGCATAGGCAAATAACTCAAATATCTTTAAAACTATGCAAATTATGAAATATGAAATGAAAAGATGCCAGATGCCTACTGATTTAAGCATTTCTCTTTGAACCAACCGTACGAGCACCAGCAGAACGCGCTGTAACTAACAAATTGCTCTACATGCGGGAAACCGAAGCACTATACCTACGTGTAAACTAAACCTACCAATTTCTGCAAACAGTAGGGGAGACTGTTACACCTTGGACCACTTTTTGCGTTAAATGGTTTAATTCGTAGTCTTAACTAAATTTCAGAACTTTGAATGGCTTAAATTATAATTTGAACCTTCTTGCAAATTTATTTGATAACCTCATCAGTCCCAGGAAATTTTTTGTTTTTTAATCTCTATAATATCACACCAACATATTATGTTGGTGTTTTTTATGTTACATTAGGCATCAAAATAAGAAAAAAAAATAAAGATTTTTTTTTATGACAAAAATCTTTAAAATCAAATGTCTTCTATAGGCGACTTCTCAAAAGCAATTTGTGTTGTATAAGTAACATAGCCATGATTTTCTATGAATATATCCGAAATAAATATATAACATTATTAAATCTTAAAATATGATAAAAAAATAACTGATAGTAGTATAGTAGATAGTAGATAACGCACTGATGTCAGTTCATTCACAACATTGATGCTATTCCGATTTTCTTGGAGGCAGAGGAACACCTGACGTCTAGAACATAGATTCTGGCTAAGTTGACGTACTGGTCATAGTTCATGGTATACCTTGAAGCAGTTTTTGTTTTCTTGGATGCAGAGAAATACATGTCATGTAGAACACCTGATTCTGACTGAGTTGGCTGAACAACCTGAGATTCGGCATCCATTTTTTTTTTTTGGCTGTGGTTAGTATTTCTGGTAAATGCAAAGTGTGCTTATTACGGAGCAAGTTTGGAGGGTGGGATACCCTGGGTTGCTTATAAGGAAGGGACAAGGAACACTCATAATCTCGATCACTATCCTCCGAGCTATCCTGATGATCATGGACCAGTAAATATGCATACTCTTCTTTAAAACTGACCAGATCCATAATATCTTTTCTGTGGGTTCCAAAAAGTCGCTGATCTCGTCGTTATTCGATCCACTGAAATTGCAAAGTTAAACATATGCACAATAGCTCTGACTGTCCATTTCCTAGATTGCGCAGAAGTCCTGTAATAATTATTCGGTCTAAGTAAATACTTCCCATATTGGCATTTTAAACCTTAAATGCAAGAGGCTTCTTGTTTTCAATGAATCTTTTTTGTATTTTACACCATCTTCTATACTTATCGACAGGTTGTAAGCCCTCTCTATTTGACATCAAAATTACTGCTTTATTATCAAACCGTTTTACAACAGACACTTATAAATTGCCCCCTCCCCCCCACCTTTCTTCTAGAAGTTCTTCTTTGCTTGGAGTTCTTGGGTATTCTAATTTGTTTTAAAGGCCAGTACCTATAGCTTCTCTTTCTAAATGTAATAAATGTATAAGATGTTCAGAATTATAATATCTATCCATATAAACTGGAACACCGGGAGGAAACGTACACAGAAGCGTCAAGACAGAAGCGTCAACACAGCCTTACCACCAACATCTAGAAGTTTAAAACGTTTATCATTAACAATAGGGTCGCCTTTTCCCTGTGTCGAATTGGTGACATACTTATTTTAAACTTTGTTAAATCAAAACAATATTTAATTAAACTTAATAACTTAAACGAAAAATAACCGAATTCGTATAATTTTTCCTTTACTTGAAAAGGTTTTTTATGATAAAATGTACGAGTGGCACTAAACGCTGAATAAACGTAAAAAATAAACGTCCAAATATTTCAAACCAGTTGAATACATCAGCCTACTGTATGAGTATCTATCATCAGTAATCTAAAATTATTTTGAAATAAAAGTGAAAAAAAAAATTCGAAAATTCCAAAATATTCGGTATTTTTGTCCATGAGTGTATAAACTTCTTCCTATTCTCTCATTATAACATTCTTTTACGAGTAGTATCGGCCCCCTTTCCATTTAAAAGCGATATAGAGCTATTTGTAAATAAAACATGAGACGATCACTTTTTCACCCAAAACTTGTCTGATTGTAAACAAAAGTGTAGACGATTATAAATATCGAGATAGCAGGTAGTGATATCATCGATGGCATTAATTGAAATACCTAAATACTTATTCACTCAAACGCAAGGTCAAACTGATCCAATATGTTACAGAAATTCTACTTTGAATGTGTTTAGAATTTAATTACTCATATTTTACGTAACTATAATCACGTTGAAATACTAATAAGTTTTATTAAAAGACACTGTAACTGAAAAAAAAAATGTTAGGTATGTTCTAGGCTAGCTCTTTCTTTCAATTTCAAAAATCGAATAAATTAATTATTTTTCTATTTGGTGTTTTTCGGGGGTGTCCGTTAAAATCTGTATTTTCCCAAATTTCCTTTCAGTTTTCTTTTTACGTGGAAGAGCTTTCGAAAATGGCCTTATAACCACAGAGCTTACAAATTCATTTGGATTATTTTACGAAGTATGAGGGGTAGCCAAAAGTTAATTTTCTGTAGACTGTAAAGCTTGAGATGGATCTGGCCGGTCTGCAATTTTAGCACTAGTAAAATCACTATCTGTAAATACAGCTGGATTGCATGGACAAATACCAGTATGTGAAAACCCACCTATGATATTAGCAGGTTTAAAAGCACAAACATAAGCACTTCCCACAAGTGCATGTAGTTCTTTTAAGAATATCAGCTGTGCAGGATTGCTAACCATCCAGATATCGGCTGCTTTATTACAAAATCTTTTAAATAGCCCAAAAACGTTGGTATCCAAGGGCTGTAACTTATGGCTAGTATGAAGTGGAATGGTGAGTAGTATTACTTCATTGTTTTTACAGATGTTAAGCCCTTTTGGCGAAATATGGATATCATGATTATCTAGTATCAGCAGATACATGTAATTTATGTCGACTCAGGAATATCTAATAAAGTGTAGTAAATATTTTTCGAAATTCTCATGAGTCGTCCAGCCTAATGGGTTGACATCAGCACCAATGGGAAGCCCTCTTGTCATATAAGCCTGGATCCTAACTTCTTCTTAACGTGCCCTATCAATCCCCTTGACGTTGGCGATTAACATGGCGAAACTGTCTCTGTCTCGAGCTATTCTAAATAGATACTAAATGGATCCTAACCCTGGGATAAATTAAAAATGGGAGAATAATGTTACCAGACGCACTTATAGTGCATAAAACTGTTACCAGTGATCCTCCTTGTACGCCTTGTAGAAACTTTACGCTTTCTGGCCACTGGAAGGTCATTTGAGGATCTGAAGCTAAGCTGTACAATATCTCCACAAATATTGGGAAAGGTAATACCAGAAACTTGAAGCGCTACAATAATTTTTCGTGCAATTGAAAGTTATTTTCTATTATTAATTTGCGAACTACGGATCTTTGCTCAGCGATGTTTGACAGACAGCACCAATTGATATTTTGTTTGGAGCTGAATGTTGTAAGCAAATTGTACACATTGTAATACGTGAGTCTTTCCTGTTGTTGATATCTTTTTACTTACGGTTACGATAATCGGTGAATTGTCATAGGATAAATTAAAACAAGACATTGTTTTAAACTATTTTTCGTTTATTTCTTTCACTACATCAAAATCGAGAACATCCGGAATTTTCGCAAGGTCTGCCGGCCAGTATGTTTGCTCTCTTGTAGATATTATCGTTAGGTTATCTATCTGTATCTGTAGAGTAGGGAGGGCGAGTTAAGTTTCACAGCACTTAGGCCACAATTGACCCATTGTGCATCCTCCCAGGGAGCTGTCACCCTTAGCTCATTGTCCATCCTGCCATTTCTATGAATGTGGACAAGTCACCAGGAGACATCTCACTTATGTGGGCAGGTGTGGGCCAGGACTCGCCGAACGCGTACTCTCGTATTAACGATAACTCTGGGCATTCACATAGGATATGCTCTACAGTTTCGTCTTCTCGTTCACACTTCCTACATAGAGCCCCAGTGTGTGGAGGTGTTTGCATAGTTGAAAATTACCAGTTAAAAAACCAACTGCCAAACGTAGATTTTTCCTGGTCATTCCCAAGTACTTCTTTGATGTTGACTCTTCAAGGTTACTTAGTGTTACTCTGGCAAGTTTACATCCTTTCCCTTCTTCCCATCTTTTTACGGTTTGCGTATGGGAGTGACATTTGACAATTTCCGCGATTATTGTAGTTGACCAACCAAAAATATCCCCAGGTCCTAAGAGTCTTAGGCCTGCCGCCTTCGTAGATAAATGGTCAGCAATGCGGTTGCCTTATTCCTATTGTGTCCTTTAACCTACTTCAGGATGATGGTATTACCATCCGAAGCTTGAGTTAGTGACTTGTGACACTCCATTACTAAACCTGATGTGACACGTGGTCTACTCAAGGTTAGTAGCGCTTGTCTGCTATCTGTGCAGATCATTATAGTTTTCCCTGCTATACCTTTTTGGGTTATCTCTTTTGCGGCTATGGAGATACCAGTCAGTTCTGTCTGAACTACACTGGCATTTTTGCCCATACACCACTTTATTTTTAGGTTCAGTGATCTGGAGTATATCCTGCATCCTGATCCTCCTTTCATTTTGTAGCCATCGGTGTATATGCAAAAGGCATTTGCCACGTTTGTCTTCATACACTGTCTTGTTTCAATTTTGTAGGGTTTGTTAAAGACGAACTTTGGTTCAATTGAGGTTAGGTTATCTATTATAATTTATTTATACAGCTAACGGCCTTTGATATTATTAAGTCTAGAGTACCACATTAGATGTTTTGAATTGTAGTCTCCTCCGCAAATAAAACTATGTCTAACTATCTAAGTGTATGAAAAAAGGTTTTAATTCTGGTTGTTTAATTGAATGTTTTGGAGGACAATGTATAGCGAAAAAAGTTATTGTAAAGCGCTATATATGTCCACATGAAATATGTTGCACTTGAAATTTCCGCGGGAGTTATATGTGCTTTCTGTAGTTTTCCGGGTTTGCGCTGATTAATTTTGGTTTTGATAAAAACCATTATTATTTTGACGACGTTACTGCAAGATCGTTCTGCAATCGCCGATAAGCATAAGCAAGGTTCTTGCTTATGCTTATCGGGGGTAAAATTTTGACTATTAAAATAAAAATATACTTAGTTATTACTTTCGTCTAGGTAGTGTGTTGAACTAGCCACATGATGAGGTCTGATGACCGTTAAATTACATAATTTGAGAAATTAACATTATAGTTAATAAGACACTAGGTCGACAAGACAGGAATATATTTTTTAAGAAAATGTACAATTTCGCAGCTAGAAAGAGGGGACCTTATGCCCTATTTGTTTTATATCTTAATACTTCGTTACGAGTTTGTGACTTCTTCAGGAGAAAACTATAAATTTATTATAATAATTGTTACTTATGTTTGTAAATTGACTAATTTACTAATGTTTGTATTTGGAGAACGATTTCCGAAGTGGAAATTAAAACGTCAATAAACTTACTTTAACCTTTAACTGTGGCTTTTTCGCATTTAAATAGTAATTACTTAAAAATTCCACAAGAAAATAGCTTCAGACCAATATTAAGAATAATTGTTGGATGTAAACAAAGTGAATATTTTAATACTTAGGGTCATTGTGGCAACAGTGGGTCACATTTTTTTTAAATCACATAGCTCTGAAATTATATGAGCTATAAAAGTTAAATTTTAATGATGAAAAGGTAGCTTCCTTGGCTACACATTGGTTAAATTTTTTTTAAACACATTTGCTGGTTTTTGAAAAAAAAAAATTTATTTAAAAAAACAAGTTTTTGACTCACTGTGTCCTTAGATGGGTATACAGTGGGTCAACCGCGAGGATATTGAAGTGGATCAGGAGGATATTGGAGTAGAACAAGATAGGAAATTTCTAATATTTTTACTCTTTATTAAAAAAAATAATAAATGCTTATTACAAATTATAACCTCCTTAGCTTTTAAATGTAAATTAATTATGTCTTATAAATGTTAACAAAACATAAAATCAACTCAAATAGCGTTCCACATGTCAACTAGCGGATATCGATTTGAGAAAAATCAACATTAAAATAATAGTAAGACTGTTGACGTAAGGTACTTCCCCCCAGACAAGGTTTAGGCAATATAAGTTTTACATCGTTCTCGTTAACATATGATACATCAGGATTACTTGGCATGTGAAACTGATATTTGGGATTTGAACGAAGGAAGCTTACATAATATTCAAATTTATCATTACGCTCACGCAAAACTATTCCTACAAAATAAACACTTTTCCGTTTAGTTGCAAAACGAACAAGAACGTAATCTTCTTTCTTTGGAAAGCGAGGCAAGTCATTGAGCAATAACTTTTCATCGGTTAGTATTTCGATTTTATTTCCAACTTCGTCTTCCACTTCTTCGTCCCAGCAGTCGGAGTCTTCATCATGAATAGAAATAGTGTCATCAGTGTCATCTTCTAATTCACTCTGCAATACTTTCCTTACAGATTTTTTCTTTGGTTCATTTGTTTTGTTTTTCTTTGGTAATTTTTTTTCTTGACTTCCGATCGTTGCATTCTAATATTTTCCTTCTCCGGTGTATCCGTCGCGATTATGCTCCGGCCAGGTTTTCTTTTTCTTTTGTTTGCCCTTGGCTGAGCTTTGAAGGGCTGCCTGAATTGACTGGGGCTTATAAAAGCACCTGATGATACCGGTGCATTTTTCGACTTTGAGCAGTGGGGCTTTGGTGAATGTTGCAATTGTTCATGCTCTAGCTCCAAGGGCTATTGTTGTGAATCACGCTCAGGCTCTAAGTGGGCTTGGAGAAAAGTTGGAGAGTCTATTAATGTGTCAGGGAGTGTTTCATTTTTCAAAACCAAAGTACTGTTCTACTCATTTTCTATGGTATCTTGCAAAGAAACGTCAAGTCTATTTTGGATGGTATTGGAATTGGGACGATTAGTCACAGTACTGGGTAAAAAGTCTTCTTCGGTAAAAATGTCTCTATCGAAAGGATGGATTCCGGTCTTTTTAAAAGAATTTATAATATTTGTTGGAGTCATGGCCCTGGTGAATGTGATTCCTATCAGCTCAGCTAAATCGTAGATCGTCACAGGTTTCCCTAGATTTTTAAGCATCCAAGATTCCATAGCGGCGTTATAATAAGTTTTAAGTGGAGAATAAATACCAACGTCTAAAGGCTGCAGCTTTGCTGACGTATGAGGGTGTAGTGTCAATATTGTTACACCGTTTTCTTTTGCTAAATCTAAAGCTTCAATGGATAAGTGTGACTCATGGTTGTCCATGATTAACAATGAAGGATTTTCTTTAGAGCTTGAGGTATGTTTAATAAAATGTTTCATTGTAGTAACAAATAGCTCGCGCTAACCCTAATGATTCCGGGTGAGCACCTTTAAGCATGTGGTCCTTATAGTTTTTTCTGGGAAAAATCAGCACCGGAGGCAAAGCTTGACCACTTGCACTAATGAAGCAGCAAGTTTTTACAAGAGTGCCTTTCTCGCCGCTTGTCACTTTTCCAATATTCTTACCTTTAGGACCAATTACTTTTTGAGGTTTTTGTACCGTGGTTGTTGCCGTCTCATCCAGATTGTACACTCTAGTACCATCATCAAATGAAGAACATCTTTTGTATACTTCTTGTAGATTATCGAAAAAAACTTTTACAGTATCCTTGTTGAACGCAGTTGCTCTAGCAAGACTGCAAGCTTCTGGTTTGCGTAAAGATAGTTCATTATGACGCTTGCGAAAAGATTTTAACCAATCAATACCTGCCATCTGATTTGAAATCCATGACTGTGGCATTTTTAATTTATTTAAAACTGCCATTTCATATGCAACTTTTCTACAATCTTTTGTTGTTAAGCCGTAAAACATAAGAGCGCAATTATTGTAATATTCGGTAAAAGCTTGTTCTTGCTCATCCGTAAAAACTTTATTAATATCATAACGCGGCATAAGTTGCACATTTTCAATACTTGTTGATGCTTTAGCTTTAACTGCATAACGCTGTAGTGTTGAAAATGGAATATCCTTTTCCTTTGCTACAACACGTATCTTTTTCCCCGATGCAATTTCTAGAAGAGCATCTTTTATATTTTCTTTGGTATGGGTACCTATTTTCCTGCATAACCATAATACCACTCGTCTTTTTAATTTTCCCACTTAAAATGCAATATGGGGGCAAGAAAATCCTCTCTGTACTACAACAAGCTATTACACTGATCGTTTCACCTTTTTCCCCAAGGCTTACTGCTAGAACTTGACCGGCTCTAGTATTCAGTTGTAATCCTGTTTCGTCAGTATTAAATATTTGTCCGAGTTTATCAAAAATTATATTCGGTCATAATTCTCTCGAGATCAGAAAAGTAGTTATCGACTGTTTCTTTGGACATTCCTAAAGTTTGAGCAATTGAGGTGTTCTCAGCGTTTCTAAATGAAATTTCAGGTCTTCGTTTCAAAAACTGTTCTAACTATTTTTTACCAGCTTTGCCTAGAAGTAGACAATAAGGAGCTCTTATATTAGATTTATGAATTTAAAAGTTTGCCTTCTTCTACATTAAATTTATTTGGGATTACTAATCACTGAGCTAAATTAAAATCCATGGTTCTTACTCCTGTACTGGTTGGTGCAAAGCCTGCTTTTTTTAAATGGCTAACGATATTAGCTGCAACAGCAGTTCCTAAAGAACAATCTCAACCCAATCGGTTCATCTAGTTTGTATTATTTGTTTTTATTCGACGTTTAAAAGTCGTTTTGGATATTCCAAATGCTTTGACGGCTTCATTAATACCCATATCACCATTCTTTACAGCATCTACGGCATCACTTTGCGCCCTAGAGGTCCAGTTACCTCTCTTAGGTGTATTTTGTTTGCGAATATATTTATTGGGCATAATCCTAAAACAAAACATACTGGTCCAACTCTCCTTCTTGTAAGTGGTCCATCTATCCTCAAATAGGAGGACAGATGGACCAGCCCGTATCGTTTAAAATAAGTAGACTACAGCAGTAGTTCTTACTCTATAATACACATTTTAAATATAGTTTAATAATAAATTAATAAAAAATCAATTAAACTCACCTGTTTAAAAAAAATGAAATTTAAAAAACTCAAATTAAATTATTACAAGTGGCAGTTTTAATTATCGTAAATAACATTCCTACAAGTACGCATCGATGCGTTATAACTGGCGTCTGTTAAGCAACTAATTTTAAACGAGACAACAAAGTAGGATACACTTGCCCTATTGCCAAGCTTGGTCAGGTATACCTATCGGACCGACTATCCTCCTGGCCCATCTCTCCCTCCTCCCTTTATCCTATTATGAAAGTATTATCTAGATGGTAAGGTGGGAATATATATATATATATAGCAGATATAATTGAAATGCAACGAGGAGACAGAATAGTTTTAGGACCAAAATATTAATTACAATTTATTCACAAACATATACAATAATCTTAAAACATAACTTAAGCACTTTTCTTATATTTTATTCACTATTCAATACGTTTCAATCCCAACCAACATCCTCCTTCTACTCCAATAAGCGCGGGACTCTTCGTCAGCGCCAAGGGTATGCAAGTCTTTCCCACAGGTACAATTTCAAACCTCAACAGCACACTATAAAAGAATAATTTCGTTTCCAAAATGGCCAATCTCGAGGCTATACATCCTCTAGGTCCCGCCCCGAAAGGAGTGTAACTGCCCGGTATGATTTTGTGTTTGTTCTCGTCGTTGAAGCGCTCCGGATCGAATCGGTCTGGATTTGGGAACAAATCAGGATCACGGTGCATGCCGAACGTGGGGACTACCACTATGTGACCTTTTTGAAGATGTATGGGAGTTTCTTCCGGCGTCAAGGGCTCGATGGTGTAAGGTTTGGTGCATTGACGTTCGGCACCAGCTTGGGGAGGCCATTTTCGAAGAACTTCTGCAAAAAATATTTTAAAAGTAGTTATTCACTAGAATTGACAAAATATGTGGTCTATAATGATATATACTTGCAGAATATAGAATTTTAAAAGCTTGTATTGAGGTCATATATGCCATTTTACGAATTTTAAATTATAATCAACTGTCTTTCCTATGCGAGAAAGAGGAAGCTATTTTTTGTTAAGGTTATATCCGTTTGGGATCATAATGTGGAAACACGATGTAGGTATATACCAAATCTTGTAGATTTTCAACAAGCATATGAACAGAGATAATATATAATCAAATTCATTATTAATTAATTTTCCGAGAATTTGGTATACCAAGAAAATTGGTAAAATTAGTTCAAGCTATCATGACTCACACAGAAGCTCAAGTATGAGTTCAAAATCAATTGACAAACTTCTTCCAGAAAGCTAAGACTCTATAACAGGAAGATGAGCTAATTGCGACTTAACATTATCGTAAACCTAAAAATGTGACGATGTAAACTTAATGGGACAAACCGAAGGATATATCACATAACTTTATGTGGAGGTTTGAAGAAAATGGGAAAGAAATAGGGATAGCCATCTAAGAGGAGGAAGAAATACGATAAATAATAATGCTTGCTTACAAAGCATACTTCCCCTATCGAAGGTGTTTGGATTCAGACATTCATAGGCAAGTAAAGTTATCCATAAGGTTAATTCATAAAATATATAACCATCGTACGACCAATAGCAACATATGGCGTAGGAACATGTATTATGATAGAAAATAAAATAAACCTTAATAATACTTTTGAAAGAAAAATATTGAGAAAGATATTGGGACCCATTTTCGATAATGGTATTGGAGAATAAGATTTAATCGTGAGATATACCAATATTACAAAGAACCTTTTATAACAAACTATGCAAAATTAAATAGATTACGCTGGGCACGTTAACTTAGTAGAACGCTTAGGGAACTATGGTGGGATATTGGAACTTGAATGCAGTAGTGCTACTATTTAGAGCAGCAGTCAACAGGATCCGAATAGTCATGGTGATTTCCAACTTTTAATAGAAGATGCAAAATTAAATAGATTACGCTGGGCACGTTAACTTAGTAGAACGCTTAGGGAACTATGGTGGGATATTGGAACTTGAATGCAGTAGTGCTACTATTTAGAGCAGCAGTCAACAGGATCCGAATAGTCATGGTGATTTCCAACTTTTAATAGAAGATGGAACTTTAAGAGGAAGGTTTGACGTCGGCCAGTATTAAGACCAAGAAAGAGGTAGATAGACGAAGTGAGAACCGATGCTAAAGAGATATTGAGAATGGGAAAAAGAAGGAGAACAGTCAAGGAAAAGCATGCTTGGAGGCAGATGCTGGAGGAGCCAGGATTCGACTTGGGCTGTAATGCGATAGGAGAAAAATATATCTGTATATTTTTATAGCGATATATATTTTACCAGTAGACACTCAGGTATAATGTATGAATTCTTGGCATATCTGCGGCTGTTTATTTCTGGAGCTTAGGTAACTCCTATCGTTCTCATCACTAACTGACAGGAACCATAGGAAGATTTCACTGCTTGAAAGGTGCAAAAGTTCATCTATTAACTGGTGATCTAATTAGACAGTTTCTATTAACAATAATATCAAAACTAAAATAGTACCTGATGTGACCATATCGAAGAACTTCATACGGACGAGACTATCATATGTCAATTTTCCATTACAGTTTTTTTCAGTTTCAACAATTTCTTCTCTAAGCCTGTCTTGAATATCTGTGTTAACAGCTAACTCGTGAGCCATGCAGCACATCAATGTTGAAACTGATTCGTATCCAGCGAAGAAGAAGAGAAACGATTGAGCTGCTATGTCCTCATCGGTTAAGGTTATTTGCCGTTTTTCCTTTTCTGAAAATAATTTTGTTACAAACACTATAATATAAATTATTTTTTTTTTATTTTCTAACTAAAAAAAAGGATATATTATCGATTTTAAAATGCCTAATAACCGAATTTTTGTCATATTAATATAACGGGTGTTTTTACAGCCAAAGCAGTAAATCGGTATTTTTTCTCTTAGTTTTGTACAAGATTTTATAAAAAAAATGGTACAGTAGGCGGTACTGTAGACTTCATAATATGTTTTCTGTATTTTTAATCTTTAAATAATATTTTAATGTCATAAGGTGAACATTTATGACTTACGCTAGGCATTTCTCTTCTTGTATTCAATTATTTAATATTTTAATTAATTGGCCAGCGATTTCAATACGTCCTACATAAAAACATGTATTTCCTGTTTGACCTTTTAGGTCGTTGTAGGGATAATTTAATACTGGACACTACCGGGTTAGGGTCAGTGTTGATAAGGGTCGAGAGTCATCAGTGGTTAATCAATATGATAAAGATCCTTTATGTACACTGACCAGTGGAATAATAGTTGTTCAACGCTTCACATCAGTAAACTGTGCCTGTCTTTAATTGCATTTGTTTGCTTTAAGCTGTTGGTACAGTCATATTTTTGACCTTTTTTTATTTAAGGTTCAAGCTGTCATACTTCTGTTCGTATTCTTCAATCTCTTCACATTTCCTGCAAATCCAGTCTTCGTTGACACACTTTTTATCCCTGTTGATCTTTTAGTTTATTTTCTTATATTTAATTTGATGATCAAGTCTCCTTAATATTGCAGCTTGAATAGCATATTTTTTTCACTCTTTCTAACGGTGTATCTGCTGTCAATAAAGTCACGATAGCGAATATGGTAGCCAACATGATATCCAACGATCGATAACGGTCATGGAACTAGAAGAAGAACGGTGTATCGCCTTTGTAATTTGGGCGTTTATGTTGGTGTCCTTGCCAATGATAATTTTTTTTCTTGCAATTTAGTTTTAGGTCGTATTTGTTACATGCCTCTATAACGTGACCAATCATCCTTTGAAGCTCCTGTGCACTATCTGCCAGCAACACTGTATTATCTGCATATCTAATATTGTTTATAAGTTAGCCATTTACAGCAATCTAATCTTCTGATGCTTCCAAGGCCTCTTCAAAGATGTTTTCAGGGTATATATTAAATAATGCCGGTGACAATATGCAATCCTGTCTAGTTTGAGATCAGTCTTATATCCTTACCATCAAGTCCTGATGTTTTTAGGATATCGATTAGTTTTCCATGTGAGGTAATCAATGGAACATGCATAGACATCGCAGTTGACATATCTAGCTCTCTGTATTAGAACTTGTAAATTAAAAAGTACTTCCCTCGTTTTGAGTCCAGCTCTGAATCCAAATTGAACTTCACACAGGTGTTCTTCTAATTTGGTGTATATGCGAGAGTGAATGATAGTAAGAAGTACTTTAAGTACATGGCTCATCAAACTAATTAATCTATGTTCTTCACATTTTCTAGCGTTTGGTTTTTAGGAAGTGAAATGAATATTGATAGTAGCCAGTTTTCTGGTAAGTAACCAGTCTCGTAGATGTTGTTAAATAGTTTCGTAAGAGCTGTAATTTGGTGTACCTTTATTGGCTTTAAAATTTCACCATGCACCTCATCACGCCCTGGTGATTTCCCATCTTTAATCCGCTTAATGGTTACTTCTTCGTGTGTTATTTCTGGGCTTTAGGTACTGTTTATTTTAGTTGGACTTTGTGCTGCATTTTCAAATAATTCCTGAATATATTCTTTCCATCTTCGTAATTTATCTTCAATGGTAGTCAAAATCTGGTCTTTAATGTCTACAACTATGCCTGTATTGCGTTGTTTTCTGGAATTTTATACCGCTTCAATTTTTCTGTGCATATGGAAATCGTCATGTTTGCGTTGTAGTGTTTCAACTTCCGTACATTTCTCCGCCAGCCATACTCGTTTTGCTCATGTTATCTTCTTTAGTAAAATGCAACTATTTGTATTCGTTGTCATTTCTACCTTTTAATTTTTTTCGCTCTTCTATCATCTGCAATATTGTATCTGTCACCCATTCTTGCTTCTTTTCTCTTTTTGATTTTAGATATTTATGTGCAATTGTGGTAATAGATGTATTCATATCGCTAAATTGTTCTTATATGCTTCCAGTAGTGTTTTCAACTATTTTCGCAAAATTCTTATTAATCCCTGTTTTTCTTTCTGTCATTTTCTTTTAGTGGTCTTATATCTATCTTGGCATCTAACGACATATAACAATGGAAAATTAAACAGACCTAACAAAAACAGCTAAAAGAATAGTTAACATAGAGTAGAAATGAAAAGATTTTAAAATAAAAGAAAACAAAATATGAAAAAAGCATGCGAAAATCGAAACGTCATTATGTAAGTTTGATTATTTTTTAAAACAATTTTTCTATCAATTTTATAGTTTCAAATTATATTTAATATCTACTAACAGAATATTTACCAAGTTTAACCTCTTCCATTGCAGCAAATCCTGCCTCTTCAGTAGTTGTATCTTCGTCAGTTTTTTCACCTTTTCTGGTTTGTAACAGCAAGTGTATTGTATCTAGTCGAACGATACCTTTTTCTTCCCTTTGCTTGATGGAATCATTTACGAGGTTTACGAAAAACTTTGTTTCTTCTTCGTCGGAGAGTTTCAAGCCAAGAAACTGAAAATATAGATTGTAGGTATTATAGTTTTATTTTAATAATATGTTTTAACAGCATGAGAAACGGCAAATTAAGGCCAGGTTCCTTTAAAAACCGTGTGTTTTTTAATAAATTGTATTTATAGTACAAAATAATAAAATGTTTGTTGTCTTTTGTTCAAAATGCTAGTAAATTTACTAATATTTGTATTGTAAGAACGATTTCCGGAGTAGAAATTGAAAATTCAATAAACGTATTTTAACCTTATTTATTTATTTTTATTTATTTATTTATATTATTTCTAGCTTATTCCCATTAAAATAGTTATTACTTTAAAATGTCACAACAAGAAAATAGCTTCAGAATGTTTTATTTTATTTCGAGGTTCCCAAAATAGTCACATTATTCTAGAAAAAAAATCCCAATCTTTGTTATTTAGCTTCCACTTTAAATCTGTCAACTATATATTCCTTATACAAACAAGAAATAAATGATCCTGCGTCACAATTTATTTTTAGGGATGTTTTAAGTCAAAAATTTAAATTAACTTTTCATGTGCCTGTATCTGAGAGTTGTAGAAGATGTAACGAATTTGAACAAAAAAATAAAAACAGAAACTTCTGAAGTTACTTTGGCAAGTTTAAAGTTAGAGAAAGAATTCATCATCATAATCATCAATCAGCCCTGAGTTGTCCATTGTTGAACATAGGCCTCCTCTAGATTTTTCCATCTGCTTCTGTTCTGCGCCTCTGCCATCCAATTGGTCACGATTCTTTTGAGGTCGTCGGTCCATCGCGTTGGGGGTCTTCCTCGGCTTCGCTTGTCAGCCCGTGGTCTCCACTCAAGCAATTTTTTTGTCCATCTGTCGTCTTTCATTCTCGCAACATGTCCAGCCCATCTCCATTTTTGCCTTGTCATATGTTCGATTATGTTTTCCACTCCGGTTCGTCTACGAACTTCCTCGTTTCTTATTCTATCTCTTAAGCTTATTCCAAGCATTGATCTCTCCATCTTTCGTTGTGTCCTTCTCAATTTTTCGGCTGATGTTTTTGTGAGAGTTATGGCTTCTGTTCCGTATGTGAGGACTGGTAGAACGCACTGGTTAAAAGCTTTAGAGAAAAAAAAATTGCAACTTTCAATGCAAGAACCCTGGTATCAGAAGAGAAAGAATTGCATCTTCGAAAGTCAGAATGCGCACGTGCTGGGATGGCACTGGATTCGGAATTGGGTAAAATAGCTAAAAAACGATGTTACTGTAATAGCGTTTGATATCATGTCTACATTACCTAAACCTCACCTTTGAACTGGTATATGGTACAACAAAAAACAGTTATGCGTTTTTTGTAAAACGTTTGGCATAAAGCTGTAACATTTTTTCTATATAATAAATATATTAAATTATCTTTAATTCCCTTTACCCATGTGGATGATACGCCGATGATCGTGTGTACGATTAGAAATGTTTATGACGGAAGAATTTACCTACCAAAATAGCACGGAATTTCCCGTAGAAATTAGTTTTAACGAGTACGAAAGGTTTTAAATCCTTTCCTTCTTAATCCCTAGTATGAAAGGAACTAATGCTTTTCGGTGAAGACGGGTTCTTTTTCATAAATTCGGTAACTGTCTTCGAACGCACGTAGTAATGCTTTTCGATGAAGGAGGGTTCCTTTATGATAGATTTGTACATATTCCGAAGGCACGTATGGTAATTTTTTGGAAAAACCTAATCTAGAAGAGTTATATTTCATTACATTTATAGCTAGAAGGGTACCGTTCGTTTCGAATCTTTTTACCTTCTCAGAACTACATACAACTGGCCTATGATTTTTGAGTGGGAGATATCCCCTCTTTTTTCTAGGGTAGTTTGTAAAATTTTAGAAAAACCAAGTTACTTCTCGGTGGGCTCTCTTTGAGTAAAGGCTCACATGATCGTACCTGTTATCTTACCGCCTGTGAATTGTTTTCTAAGTGTGTATACACTTTATATTTGAGTTTTCTTTTCTTATACTATATTAGATTATATATAGTTCTACAGTACCTTTAATGTAAATTAAAGTCAGTGTTGGATATAAAGTATTAAGTACAGTATATAGCTTCAGTGAAGTACCTAGTGCAGCAGTCGTCAAGATTTACTATAAGTAATCATTATCTTCAAATTATCTGGGCGAGTAATATGGTATGGTATCATATCACCTTCTATTATCTGGACAAATCTAAAGTTCCTCCATGTCTTCACCTGTAGATTGCTGATTTTTGCATTCAATTTAAAGAACAATTCAATAGATTCAAGAAATTTCAATAAGTAATAATTATGAATATTTAAGTCTCAGTTTAGCATTAAATAATAGATAGCTAATCGACTTAACCAAGTGCGGTTTGAATAAATTTTTATGTTTTCATTTCTGTAACCTTTTTGTATTTTGGTTAATTTAGAATTGATTAATTTTTGTTATCTTTTTGGTTATAGCTTTTATTCATTTTTTTTTGCTGTAGTATCTTGAGATACGTCAATGCTTTATTTTTACATGATTGTATTATATATCTTTGTAAAGGTATTTTCTAATTATATTACTGCTTATTTTTATATGTATACCACCATTTTATAGTTGTTGGTGCACTTTTATTACTTGTGTTGCATTCAGCAGCGTTGTTGTTGAGTATATAGTTATTGTTTTATGTATGTATTTTATTTGTCGGCTTCTAACAAGTTCCCTGATAAAATAGTAACTCTGAGTATTTTCCTTTTACCTTTAAATATTCTTATACCTTTGACCAGTAGAAAGATCAGGCTGATTAAGTTTTGTAGGTAAGTAATATATTTATTAATTGCTTTATATATTGTGTTGACCAAATTTATTTGATAATTAAATGTTGGTATCTTTCCTTGGGTTTGATCTCTGAACCTAAATATCTTTCCTTATCTCTCTTCTTTTCTAAGGTTTCTTAATTTTCTCCGTAACCTCAAAAAAATGAGTGGCGTCCTTTTTCTATCTTATCGTATCTTTGGTAATTTTACTCATCTATCTTTTTGTTTATTTCGGTATCTTTTCTAATATCTCTTATCCTATCTTTACTTATTTCATACGTTGGACCCATTCTCGGTTCCAAAAGCTAGTTTCGAACCCACGACTCGCTCTCCACCAACCATCTGGCTGCCGTCCGCAGTTTCTCCATCGGTGACCTTTCTAGCACCATCCAAAAAAAGGTTTCCGAGGTTACAAAGCCATAGCATCTAGAGGAGCTCAAGAGATTGGATCTTGTATGTAGCAATATGTCTAAAACTATGTTAACACGTCTGTATTTTTTCGAATTAAAAAAAGTAAATATAAGTTTAATATAGTCAAGAATGAGAAATTTAGTTTAATCTATAAACAACACTTTTAGTTATCATACGATCAAGAATCAAAAAGCTGATAAGTATTTTTTTATCATAAATGATATTTAATTAATAATAATATTTATTCAATGTCACATAGAAAACTATAATCAACCGCTTCAATGTTTTCTATTGTTTAACTTATGCAGATATGTACATACCTACACTATACACATAACTACTTATCTTTAATAAGGTGATTACCTTAAGTGAAAAAAATGTACCTAAATATTTTGTTTTTGTTAATTATATCGAAAAATTTAATAATCAAATGCACTTAAAATTAAGATTAAAACACTTACTCTGTATATCTTCGGAGCCAACAAAAATCCCATGAATCTGAGAAGTTTACTAAGTTTGTTAAGGTTAGTAACACTACTGACCATTGCATAAAATTCGTTGTCCTTTTGCTCGAGAGAGTCCAAGGAAATGCCGAATGCTATAGAAGCTATAACGTCAGTACAAAATCGACCAGATACATCCTTAAATTGTACCTCTTGTATATCAGAACCTTTCTTCAAAAAGTGATTTGTGAAATTGTCGCAGCATTCCTTTATTAAAACAAACATGGCTTTCATCTTGCTGCTGGTGAATGTGGGGCTTACAATACATCTCATATTTTTCCATCGTTCACCTAAAACGATGAAAGATATTATTTTTAAATTATTTTAATATCGTTGGGAATAAAAAAAAAGAACTAGTTGACGTTTAGATTCACAAATTCCGATTCCGTTTTTAAAATACAATAATTGCTTAATTAAATAAGTTACTTTTTGAGTTACGTTAGAAGTTATAGAAGAGTGACTATTAAAACTACTCCAAAACATAAAAGAACAAAACAAAATTTCTCAAGAATGGAGATCAAGCATCCTAATACCTCTCTTTAAAAATTAATTAATTTATTAAATACAACACTAAAATTAACAACCAAAGTGATAACAAATAAATTGAATGAAATGATAACACTAGCAGAGGAACAACAAGGTTTTCCGTCGGGAAGATCATGCACCGACGCTATACTTATAAAGAGGCAAGTGCAAGAGAAATCATTCGAATACAACAAACCGGCATATCTATCTTTCGTGGACTTTACACAGGCATTTGACCGAGTCAAATTAAAAGACGTTATCCACTTACTGTACGCAAGAGAGATACCTCAAGGAATTATCACAACGATCGAAGATATCTACCAAAACAACACAATAAAAGTAGAAGAAGAACTAATCGACCCTATTGAAGCTGGCAATAGGGTAAGACAGGGAGATTCATTAAGTCTATTGTTTAACCTGATTATAGATGAAATAATAAAAAAGTAAAAAAAGGAAAATAAAAACTAAAAAACAATACCAAATGAAAGGAAAACAATTTAAAATAATCTGCTATGCAGACGACGCAATACTAGTCTCTTAAAGTGAAGATGATTTACAACGTATGCTGTACCAATTTAATATATCCGCCAGAAAATTTAACATGTTAATTTCCCCAAAAAAGACAAAATGCATAGTTACAACAGCTAATTTACTAAGATGTAAATTGGAGCTGGAAGGTCAGATAATGTAACAAGTGATGGAGTTTAAATATCTAGGCATCACATTATCTAGGTATGAAAAGCTCGAAGCCGAAGTGGAAGATTAATTAAATAGAGCAAACAGAGCCGCAGGCTGCCTAAATGAAACAATATGGAGAAATAAAAATATCGGAAAAGAAATGAAAGGCAGAATTTACAAAACAGTCATCAAATCAATAATGACATATGCGTCAGAAACAAGACCTGATACAGAGAGAACAAAAATAATGTTAAAAACAGCAGAGATAAAAACACTTAGAAAATTTGATATTAAGACAATATGGGACAGAGGTAGAAGTACAGATAGGTATACGACATAGATGCAAGGTGGAGAATATAAAGAACTCAGTAAGAAATAAAAGAGTAGAATGGAACGATCATGTAAGCTAAATGACAACAAATTGAGTAGTAACGACGGCAAGAGATGGTTCTCCAATAAGAACACGATCAGTAGGTAGACCACTAAAACGATGGAACGACAATTTACTAGAGGGACATTAAAAAACAAACAGAGTCATGTCTATATAAAATGAAGAAGAAGAAGAAAGTTGCATTGGTAGTGTGTTGGCTCCACCTTATCTCCAAAAATATTTTTAGGCCATACTAAAAGGTGACGATTTTAATACACCCATAGGCTAAATCAAAAAAGGATATGAACTAGTATAAGGACGACTATGCTTTGGAACTATGCGAAGTGAAACTAAAGATGAAAGAAGCTTTCCACATTTTTTTAAAGAAAAAACGTTAACTTATTATCAGACATAAGCTCATCCGAAATCATTTACCTTTTAAAGAAAAGATACTTTTTCCAAACAAAGGATCAAGATCTTCGGGAACATACGTCCTACGATCAGTAAAATACTCGAAATCTTTGATCCAAATTTGTTTGACTAATTCTGGGTCTCTCAATGTTAGAACTGGATTTCCAAACTGGTAAATGCCACTATACCTGTAATCAAAAACAGTTAATAAGTTCATGTATATTGATAAAAAGCAATCAAAAAGTTAAAAATAGAAAATCTGGCGCAGACCAGATCTCCGCAGAAGTTTTGAAAGAGACTGGAGATGTTGGAGTAAATGTTATGCATATGATCTGCAAAAAGAATTGGGAAACCGGAGAGTGGCCCAACGACTGGATAACATCCACTTTTATCCCTATACTCAAAAAAGGAACTTCGCTAGATTGCAGCAACTACAGAACGATAAGCAAGGTTCTACTTGATGTAATATATAAAAGACTAAAACTTCTAATTGCCTCAGATATCAAAAGAACAAGCGTGATTTGTTCCAGGAAAAGGTACAAGAGAACACATCCTTAATGTCAGACAGATAATCGAAAAAACTCGTGAATTAAATACTCCTATGCTTATGTGCTTTGTGGATTACACAAAGGCCTTGGATAAAGTCAAATGGTAGCAGCTATGGTCCATACTGGAACACCCTACCACTTAATTGAACTAATTAGTAAATCAAGAAGAAACAGAAGATAAAACGAGATGTCTGGAGGATAAAAGCAAAACATATGGACTAAAGTTAAATAGGAGTCAGAAAAAGATCATGATAGTATACAGAGCTCGGAATAATCTTCAGCACATTAAAGAAATTGGCCGCTTTGAAATAATAAATAGTTTTATATACCTGGGTTCCGTACTAACAAATGAAGGAGGGTATGACAGAGAGATACGTAGAAGGCTGACTATTGCTAGAACAGCTATGATGAAACTGGTAACAATTTGGAAAAATTCTAGCATACAATACACAAAAAAATAAGGCTAGTAAGAGCACTCATTTGTTCCATAGCCACCTATGCATCGGAAACGAGGACCTTAAAGAAAGCGGATAAAAATAAACTAGACGCTTTTAAAATGTGGGTATATCGCCACATGTTAAGAAAATCATAGATTGATCATCGCACTAACGTATCGATATTAGAACAACTTAAACTAAATGATAAATTGCTTAAACAAATACAACAGAGGAACAGGTACGATGGAAAAACTGATAATCGAGGGAAGAGTTGAAGGAAAGAGACCTAGGGGAAGATTTGAAAGCCATTGGGTAGATCAAACAAAAATATTGATTAACCAAGGGCTACATAAAAGCCGAACAACTAGCCCAGGACAGGAAAGGATGGAGGGAAACCTTGAAAAAACTGTAAAGCAATCTGTATCTTGCAAACTGTTGCTTTAAAAAGGTTTGTGGTTGTTGTGTTGAACCAGCAGTATGGTAATATAATGTATTTATACTAGTACTAGCAGTAGGACTAGTATAAATAGTAGACTAAGTAAATAGGACTAGTATTCCGGACATATTTTAGAAAATAACATATTATATTATTATTGAACCTAATACTTAATTTGTTTTCAATACTCTTTCCTCTCTTTTTAACACCCTACTGGAATTGAGCCGACCATACTCAAAGGAAACATAATCAAAATGATACATGCATGCTACTATCCTTGCAGATACAACTAGGTTCTATAGTACTGTACCTATTAAAAGATTCTGAGAAAAATCTGTATACCTACAAACCCTACAAATAACAAGATGAAAGGAGATGCGTGCCCGAATATATATTTTCCCCAAATCATTATATTCTGTATATTTTCTAGACCCTGAAACTAACAAGCTTCTCCGCTCATGAGAGCTCGGTGATAAATTTAATATAGTAACACTTAATACTAATGAATTTTCAGAGAAAATTTTTAACGAGGCTCTTTACGGAATAGACGAAGGCATCCTTCTAAATGGTGAAAGAGTAAACAATGTTAGATATGCCGACGACACCATGGTGATAGCAGATAGTTTAGAGGGACTTCAGAGGCTAATGGTAAAATAAACGAGTACAGTCAACAGTACGGACTAAACATTAATACCAACAAAACGAAACAAATGATTATCAGCAAGGAGAATATAAATGGGGCTCATCTATACATTAACGGGACGCAGATAGAGTGAGTAAAACAGTATTGTTACCTGGGAACTATTATTAACGAACAGTGGAGCAACTTACAGGAAATAAAGTGCCGCATAGGAAAAGCAAGAACGGTCTTTAACAAAATGAGCGCCATCTTCAAAAGTCACAACATATCCCTTGATACAAAAATGAGACATTTGAGATGCTATGTTTTCTCTGTGTTGTTGTACGGGGCGGAGGCATGGACGCTTACAGACACCACTATTAAAAAACTTAAAGCATTTTATTTGAGCTGAGCATGAGATGTGGCTTTATAGAAGAATGCTTAGAATATCATGGACAGCAAGGATCACGAACAAGGAAGTTCTAGGAAAAATGAAGAAGGAACCAGAGATTGTGTTTACGATCAAACGCATAAAATTGCAATATCTGGGACACGTTATGAGAAATCAGCACCGTTACTCCCTGCTACAGTCTATATTGCAAGGTAAAGTCAAAGGTAAGCGAGGACCCGGTAGAAGGAGAATATCATGGCTGCGGAATTTAAGAACATGGTTTAAGAAAACCTCAACGGAGCTGTTTCGAGCCGCAGCGAGCAAGGTTATGATTGCCAATATGATTTCCAACATCCGAAACGGATAGGAACCAGAAGAAGAAGAAGTGTTGAACCACGTACGTAGATTTTTCAGCTAGAAAATCCTTGCCTTCCTGGTGCTCGTTTCCTTCTACTTTTCCTTGTAGACTTAATTGCAGCAACCCATATCTATCGATGTTCCTCATAAGGTGACCGAGGTATTCGATTTTGGCTGTTTTTATTGTGATTAATAACTCATTTCCTTTTTGCATGCTTAGTAAAATGTCCTGGTTAGTAACGTGGTCCGTATAAGATACCTTCAGGATTCGACGATCAAGCCACATTTCGAAAGCCTCAATTTTTTTGCAGGTAGCGTCTGTGAGAGTCCACGACTCTTAGTATCAGCAGTATAGGAAAAATATAATGGTTTACACAGGAGACTTTAATACAAGACGCCTCAAGTGTTTAATATTTTTTAAAAATCTACCGAATCTCACTAAACACGACTCTTCACCTTTACTCCCTGGGGTCGGATCGGATGCTTTCAATTTATATTACAGATTAATATTCTACGTAAAAACTGTATTTAGTAATCATAAAAATTAGGTTACAGATTGATACTATATGGACTTTTAACCCTGTATTTATTTTTCTGCCATTACATTGTTATCTATCGCAATTATAAAAAAATTCAGATAAAATTTGATTATTTTGTCACGTCGAGCCCGAATCTGCAATAAAAAGAGATTTTTCTTGTTAAATTTTAAAGTTGCCCTTGCATTTTTCCCAAGGTATCAGAATAAATTATTTTTTCGGATTACAGCGCCATTTTTCAACAATTCGACAAACATTTTTAGAATAAACATTCCAAATGTGCCATTTGCAATAAAAATTGGGGGTTCCCGTTTAAAATGAGATTAATGTAGGGTCCCAGCCCACCAATAATGGGTCAACTGGATTGACTTCTCTGAAGTCAATCCAGTTGACCCATTATAAGGATTGACCCATTGTAAGGATTACACCTAATTTCAAAAACTACCACAGATTTGTTAGTGGTGTGCTAAGTGTCGAAAAAAAAACACATACCAAAAGGCTATCACAAAGATTATATCCCTGGCTGGTCGGAAAATAGCGAGGAATTATATCAGAGCTTTCTTGAAACTGGCGACCAAAAAATAGCAGATGCACTACTGTACAGCCTAGACGCCGCTAGAAGCCAAAAGTGGACCGAGACAGTAGAAAGTCTAAACTTTCAGATATCAAGCAGACAGGCATGGTCATTACTATGAAAATTAGGGAGTGGTGTCCGTACGAAATGCCGAGAAGCAGCCGTAAAGCCAGATGCCGTAGCATCACACATAGTAAAAACGTTCAGGGCACCAAAGGACAAAGCACACATCATTAACGTAAAGAGAGAACTTAAAACTTTAAAACATGTAGCCACAGAAACGGAGCATTCCTTCCCCTTCACCAGCGATGACATATCGCTGGTAAAGGGTTCTTAAAGACGTTGAGTCAGCAAAAGCACCAGGATTTGATAATATTCACCCTGAATTCCTAATAAATTGTGGCAAGTAAACAAAAGTTTGACTGGGTCGATTTTTCACGGACATCATGGAAACTGGAAATATTCCACAAGAACTTAAGCGCTCTAAGATAATAGCCATACTAAAGCAAACTTGCCGACAATCTAAAAAACTACAGACTAATTGCGCTTCTCTCTGCCATCTACAAACTATATATATATAACAGAATCAGTACAGAACTGTTCCAGGTGATCCCAGTCGAACAATTGGGTTTTCGATCAGAACGAAGCTGCGCGGACCAGGTAATGTCACTCACCACCTACATCGAAGCGGGTTTCCAAAGTAGACTTAAAACTTCAACGGCATTTATTAACCTCTCGGCAGCTTACGATACAGTATGGAGATTGAGCCTTATATACAAAATTCTCCGTGAAATCCCCTGTAAACCAATAGAATGCCTAATAAATAGCATGCTCTACGACCGAATATTTTAAGTAGTAATGGGCATAGATATCAGTCCACCAAAGAAACTTAAGAATGGCCTACCACAGGGATCAGTGCTCTCTCCACTACTATTTAACTTATACTTAGCAGATATGCCGGAAACACAATCAAGAAAGTTCGGATATGCCGATGACTGGGCCCTCACTATGCGGCAGTTCTGACGGCAGACTTATTTATATATATATATATATATATATATATATATATATATATATATATATATATATATATATATATATTCGGCAAATATTTTCGCAAGTGGCGACTTTAACCAAATGCATCCAAAACAGAAGTTAGCTGCTTTGACCTGAACAATACACTTGCTGGAAAGGAACTCAAAATATGGTTTGAAAATACCACACTTACCCTCAACAAAACACCGAAGTACCTGGGTTTAACACTAGACATAACGCTATCATTTAAAGAGCATTTAACAAAAACTGCCCAAAAGTTGAGTACAAGAAATAACATTATACAGAAGCTCTGCGGTACCACCTGGGGAGCATCGGCTTTCACTCTCTGCTCTACTGCCTTAGCCCTTGTTTTCTCGACCGCTAAATATTGTGATCCAGTTTCGCTACACAGTCCACATGTAAAAAAGGTCGACACTCATCTGCACATCAACTCCCACCCAATGGCTACCAGTATTAAATCACATCCCATCTCCACATTTACGACAAGTTGACGCATATATAAGTGAATACAAAAAGATCATGAACAATATCTTCTTCTTTGGGTACCGTGTCCGTATTCAGACGTTGGCCGTCATTATGTTTACAATTTCCTGAAACCTCTCTCTGTCGGCTGCTGAGTGAAATAATTCTTCTAACCTGCAATATAACAACAATATATGAACAATATAAACCTGCCGATCTACCAAGATACCGAGGATGTACGATATACCCGTCTCCGTTTTAGAAAACCATCAATGAAAACGGCAAGAATAATACATGAGGGGTTCAACATCATGAATACATGGTCCCAAGAATGGAACGCATGGCAAAATAACATGCTAGCTAACAAGCTTCCAGGTTTTGATCTTCCACGCAAACCATGGTCCACTCTAAATAGGATCCGAACCAGACATGACAGATGTGCATACATTCTACATAAATGGGGAAAGAACCTGTCTCCTCAATATGACTGTGAAGAGAACCGAACCATCGACCACATTATTGAAGAGTGCCCCTCAAGATCCTACAATGGTAGCCCTGAAGACTTCCTGTTTGCAACTTCAGAGTCAATTGATTATATTAATACACTTGATCTTGTTTGTAACTATTTAGAGTTGGTCATATACCTATATTACTAATGTTTGTCATTTTGTTCCAAATGTGTTGTAATTGCCATACGATAAATAAAAAATAAATAATAGTGGGTGGTGCTGAGAGATCGTGTTTTGTGTCATTCGATAGATTTTTAAACATATTGAACACGTTTTTTTATTCTTTTCAATATGTAGTTAGTTTTACGAAATATTCGACCGTCCCGCTTTTTTTGACACACCCGGTATAAGAAAAGCTGAGAAAATATATTTATAAGTCCTCTCGTACATCGTTTACCTATTAGTATTCAGATAGTTAGTTCTCAGTTACTGATGTTATGGGTTCAAATGGTCTCATTATCTTCACGTTTATTATTTTTGTTTTTATTTGACAATGTCTTCTTCATATCAGCATAGAAAAAAAATAATACTCACCTAGTGTGCGGAAATTCCTTGTACCATGTTGTTACCAGATCGGCTACACTTTCCTTTCTCAAAACGGCGAACCAGCAATCCAAAAAAGAAGCAAATAAACCTTTCTGTTTTACTCCATTTCGCTTCCAAAAAGTTAGAGGCACAAATACATAGTAATAGACTGCTACACATATAGCCACTAGTAGTAGAAATATCAGCAACATTTTCCTTAAATTCGTTTTGTTTATTGTTTCATAATGCACGCTAAAGTCGCGACTCTTATAAATGCTTTACTAGAAATGACGTGAATGTAATCATTGGGATAAAAATAAGTTTCAATTGACTGAATCAGTAGCGTACGATAATTATTTTATAATAAAAAAAAACTTTGTGCGCGAGATTGTCAAGGTCTTTCCACAAAATATTATCAATTGTATGAAATCTTGATCTTGGTCACTTTAACTCTCGTTTTTAATTTTATTTTTTTGTTGTGGTAGGTATGTTATAGTTTTAGACTGTTTGTCTTATTAAAATACGGATTAATTCTCGAAGATTATCTTAAGGCTCAACTAGGAGAATGGCCTGACCAATATTATAAAATACCAATATGTTTACACCAATATGTGTATGCCTTTGTCCTGATACTATAATATGTGCCCCGTTTTGTACTATTTCATACATTTACTATCAAATAACCAAATTTTCAAGCATAATATAATATAATCCGGTAAGTGTTTAATAAATAACAAAGTGCAAAGTAACAAGTGCAATTTATAATTAAATTCTGATAGTCAAAACAGGCTTCGGGGAGTTGATCCGGATTTTTCGTTTAACCAAGTTTTATTGGAAGTAAAAGTGAACGAAAGCTCTTCAAAGCAGGACTGACTGTTGCAAAGAAAACGAAAAATAAAGAAGACAGAATAAGTAATGGAACAAAACGGTTGATGGAAAAGAGACGCACATTTCTAAGTGAAGGAATGCGAAACACCAATGGTTTCAAATAATTGAATAAACAAATTAAGAAGGGAGTAAAGAAAGATTTAAGTATCTACAATGAAAGCAAGGTAGAAAAAATAATAGAAAAGAACAAAGGCCTGAAATGCTTAAGATCAAACTTAGGAAACTCAAACAAGAACCCAGATAACACAGCAAAGGAAGATCTTAAGAGAAAGGTAACGAATCTCAACTCAGAAATACTCCCTAACATAGAATGCTTCGAAATAAAACAAGCTATGGCACAACTAAAGAACAATAAGCCTTCGGGCCCAGATGGAATACTTGTAGAAATGTTAAAGGAGTGGAGTGAAATTATTCTCGAAGAATTGAAAAAAAATTTCGACGAATGTCTTCACAGAGAAGCCCCAGATAATTGGAATGAAACTTTGACAATACTTTTCTTCAAAAAAGAAGAAATCTGAAGAACTATAGGCCAATCTCCCTGCTGTCCCAAATGTACAAACTGTTTATGAGAGTTACAACTAACAGGTTATCGTCGAAGCTCGATAAATATCAACCGGTAGAGCAGACAGGATTTCGAAAGGGTTACACTACAGCAGATCATCTTTTTACAGTCAGAACGCTAATGAATATTACTTGAATGGCTTGAATGGCTTAAATATACATGGCTTCATTGATTATGAAAAGGCATTGGACCGTATAGAACTTTGGGCAATAGAGAGCTATTAACAACTGCAGGATAGACTCCCAATGCAGAATGCTCATACATAGAGGAAGTGAGCCAAATATGGAATATGCTCTTAATATGGAATGCCGTATTTTCTAGAAAAGTTAATCGGCAACGTTGCATTTATCCAACCCAAAAAAGGTACCTTTGGCTGTAGTAACGTTACAGCATTCAGTTCTGATCTAGTGTTCGTAGTGTGAGTACAGTTGCCTTCAGAGTTATTTTAGATTCCGCGATTTTTTTGTAGGTAAGTACTTTGAACAAGAATAGTATAAGTTCTGCATGAAATATAATTTTGGTAACACCCATCTATTATGTAATAGGCATGTTTTCTTGTGTTTTCTTAAGTAAAAACTCTATATCTTTTTCGCATGTAATGATATTGCAGTTGGAAATTCAAACATTGTAGTGTGCCTAATAAAGAATACTTAAGGGTATTAAATATGGAATATACCATATTCGGAATATTTTTTTGTCATAATACGATATAACAAATATATCTATCTATTATGTTACTTATCGAGTTTCGTAATTAGTTTGGTTTGACATTTCTATTTGTTGCAGGAAAATGCCACAGAAGAAGAAAAGTGATAAACCCTGTAGAAAGTCGTGGAACAAAGATGACATGAAACGTGCTATTCAGGCCGTTAGGATCAAAGAAATGGGATATAAAAAAGCAGCAGACACCTTTGGAATACCCCGTACCATTTTATTTCGATTGGCATCTAAACCTAATGATGCTGTAGACAAAACTTTAGGTAGACCCCCTGTTTTACCAGAAAATTTAGAAATAAAATTGGTAGAATATTTACTTTTAATGGAAAAGAAGTTCTTTGGATTAACTAGACGGGGTGTTAAACATATGGCTTTCCAGTTAGCTGTTGCTAATAACTTACCAAATCCATTTTCGAAAGAAACTGAAAGTGCTGGCAGTCTCTAAAAAGACATAAAAGTGCGATTTCTATAAGAAAGCTAACCGGAACCTCAATTCATGGGGCTAAAGGTTTCAATAAGGAAAATGTTAGCCACTTCTTCGATCTTCTGGAGTTAGCATTCGAGAAGCATCAATATCCTACAGATAGAGTTTTTCTACAGCCGAGTGGCTGGATTTTAAACGGAAATATTTACAGAATGGTTCCGGAACTTCATAGAAAAAACAAGACCATGACAAAGTGATCCAATATTGCTAGTTTTAGATGGGCACCATTCGCATTGTCGCAACTTACAAGTTATCCATTTAGCAAGACAAAATTTTGTAGAGATATTGTGCCTGCCCCCACACTCTACCCATTATATGAAGCCGTTGGATAAAACTTTCATAGGGCCTTTAAAATCTCACTATAGTGAGGAATTAAGAGTATTTCTTCGAATCAATCAGAGGGCTGTCACACCTTTCGACATCTCTGAATTATTTGGTAGGGCTTAGTTGAAAGTCCAAACTGGGGCAATAGCCGTTAATGGCTTCAGGAAAACCGGGATATATCCCACAAATCGCAATGTTTTCGAACACCACGATTTCCTTGCTGCTGAAGAGGCATCGCAATCTGACATTCCATTAAATGAAATTTATGATGAAAATGGGACTACTGACCAATCAAAAAGAAATACGTTTATCGAGCCTCATCAAATATCACCTTTGCCGACATTATGTAAGAAAAAATGACCTCAAAGAGGAAGAGCACCAGGAAAAGCTGCAGTTATAACCTCATCGCCATACAAAGAAACCCTAAATAATTCAATAAATTCTCCTTTATCGAACAAATCAAAGAATATGGCCAAGCGAAATGTGATATTCGATCTATCCCATTCACAACCGTCTTGTAGTGGTGTCAATATTCGCAAATCAACGATGAAACGATCACATCGTAAAGAGTACTCTTCATCGGAGTCTGACGTCGAGAGTTTAGATGACAAATCATCTGACGATAACATCACAGAAATAGGGATAACAGATTTAGGAGATCCAGATGCAGTGTGCTTTTATTGCGATGGAAGTTTTTTAAACGATGTTCGAGGCGAAAATTGGATACGCTGTCTGTCCTGTCAGCAGTGGTTCCATGTTGATTGCGCAGGGGCAGAAACGGAAACATTCATATGTGATTTCTGCAAAGAAAATTTAAAAACTGCAAGGTACCTTTCTCTTAAAGATTTAAAATTATTTATAAGAATATGAAAAAAGTTTGAGTTGTCAATAAATATTCTTCCTATAATTTTGTTTTATTCCATATTTAGAACATACAGTATTCCATGTTAGGTGCATATTCCGTATTAGGTACAAAAACGTGTCAATGCAGTAAAAGTTTTTTTGTGAAAAACTTATCGAATTGATTGAATCCTCAGATAATAATTCCGATGAACGAAATTATGATCTAATTTAACTTAAATAATTAGATTCATTTGATCGAAAAACACTTATTGACAGCAAAAAATAAAAATAGTATTCCACATTTGGCTCCTTTTTTAATATTTACAAGAAAGCTACAATGAAAATACAAATAGATGCCAAAACCAAAGCTTTGTTTTAAACAGCTGATTAATTTCAGAGTATGAGAACTGTATTACATTGGATTGGTTCAAAATAATTAGGAGAGGTGGTAAAGGGTTTTACAAATAATAGCCAAATCAAGTTTGTAAAAAGTGTTACCAATATTTCTGTTACACACACACTCGCGGTATTTATAAGCTTCCATTAGCCATTTTCACTCGCGATTGTTTCTCATACGAGGGGAGTTGTCTTTAGCCGTTTTTATACACGTGTCTCGCGGTAACACTATCGAATAGCAAGTTTGCGTTTGGCCCAGGTACAAGAAAGAAAGAGAGGCCGAAAAGGCACTTCTTTTCGGTATAAACGTCGGAGCAATGTCTGTTCCTGTTGCTAGCGGCAGTTAACAGTCGACAGAGAAAGAGAGAGTATTTTTCGTTTGCTATTTTAAAACTGTCTGTATGTCTTAATGAGTGGTTTTGAAGTGGAAGTTGGAAGTATTACTAATGGTTGTAGTAGGGTAATGATTGTTAACTTGTGAGTCAAGAGCTGAAAGTTTTAATAAAAGAATGGGAAATGAGAATGGAAAAAATAAAGAGTATTTTAAAATAAGGACAACTAGATTACTAGTTAAACAGAACAATGATGAAAAGATTGACAAACTTTAAGAAATGATAAATGAAATAAGAAAAGAAATTTAAGAGATGAAGAGTAATACAAAAAAACTTCCAAGAGAACAGAAAGAAATGCAACACGAAATTAATCAAATAAGACAGTAACACCAATTTATAGAAGCTGAATATGAAGGCTAGATATCGCGGGAAAACAAGTAGAAAGAGTGAATAACTACAAATAACTACAAATATCTAGAAACCTGGGTAAATGAAAACAATGACCAAGGTAGAGAAATAAGGACACGCATTAAAATTGCAAGACAAGCATTTATAAAAAATGAAAACAATATTTGTCAATCAAGACCTTCCTCTGGATCTGAGGATAAGCGCCTTAAGATGCTACGTGTTCTCGACTTTGTTGTATGAAATGGAAAGCTGGACACTAAAAGTGGATAATATAAAGAAGTTGGAATCAATTGAGATGTGGTAGGATTTTAAAAATACCATGGCCCAACGAGTTACAAATGCGGAAGTTTAAAGAAGGCTACAA